GTGGCGGTGATGATGGCGATGATGATGATGGTGGCGGTGATGATGATTCTCGTGATGATTGTGATTCCCCTGATGGAGTCTAGCAGTTTGAAGTCGAAAGGTCGCGGTCCTTTCTAAAAATGACCCTCAAACATGAGACAAACGGATAAGTATCATTTACTTAGATACATTTATTGATATCGAATACCTGCTTCAATTTCCAAGCTTCTCTTGGCCCTGTGGCAGTTTTATTGACTGTGATTTCTGTGATCTTGCCAACATCCGTGGCAATGATGGAAAATTCAGACTCGCTTTATATAAAGTAATTATAAACTTTCATCAGTTGGATAATATATGAATTCAGATATTACAGAGAGATAGGCCTAGCCCTCACTTTTAGTCTCATGATACATACTATTCTGATGTTTTATTTTTCTTTCTTTCTTTTTCCTCTTTTTTCTTTTTCCCTTCAACCTCTGGGCTGATCTAAGTCAGGGCGCGGCTAACTCACAGATCRAACCCTGAAACAACCTCTGGGCTGATCTAAGTCAGGGCGCGGCTAACTCACAGATCGAACCCTGAAACAACCTCTGGGCTGATCAAAGTCAGGGCATGGCTAACTCACAGATCGAACCCTCTGATCTAAGTCAGGGCACGGCTAACTCACAGACTGAATTGGAATTTATCATGTTAGGTTTAATTTATCATGAGAGGAAGGAAAACAAGAGAACCCGGAGAAAAACCCTCGAATCAAGGCGGCGCCCGAACTCTAGCACATGTCTTACTGAGCCTGGAAATCGAAAGGCATTACCGCTACGCCACTCTTGCTACCTATGATCCTATGTCCTTTAAGGGTACCCCGTGATATTTGAGGGGGATCAAATAACCTACCTTCCTTTATCAAATGACTTCACGACTCTCTTCAGCTCCTTGAAGGCAGTTGCACCTTTGTCGCCCGATAACTTGATAAACACTTGATCGCTAGTCGCTGGCTCCGCATTAACCTGAGGACTGGTTGTCACTCTTACTAGATATGCCGTTTTGGGAGTTATCGTAGACTGTCCACCATCTGGAAGAGAAATTAAAGTTAGTTATCTTTAAAGAAATTTGTCGCTTGACTCAGAGAAGGAGGGAATGGTGAGTAAAGGTTTTTGTCTGCATTATTACTTGTACGTTCTTCATTTGTAGGTCGTCAAAAATAATTGGTTGCACAATAAACCGTTTTCTCAAGGTTGCGTGCACATTCAACTTGACGGGCCACTTGACGGGCTCATGTTCTGGTATCGTGGTCCGTCAAGTTCCTTAAATTTGGATGCGCACGCAACCTTGAGAAAACGGTCTATCAGAAAGCGGTTCTACTTTTCGTGGAACCTGGAAGTGTTAAATGGTGCATTTCGTTATGAAACTTGTTTCGTAACGCCGCTGTACATAAGTTTCAGCTAAAAGTTTCAATGTGTATCTGGGACTTAAGCAACTAGTTCATTTACTGACGATATGCTGAACAATCCAGTCAGCGCCGAACGTTCCTAGCGAGCAGGAAACAAACGTGGTGTATGATAGTGGTTTCACACACAAAAAAAGCGCCGTGTAACACCCTGTGAAACTTTTCTCGCAACGATTCTGTACACAAGTTTGAGCTTAAAAGTTTCAATAATGTGTAATAAGGCCTTGGATGAAGAATTACCATATAGATATCAGTGTTTTATGTGTCTGTCCTCTTATTGACGATGAATTGTGTCATCACATTGTCAAAGTAGTATGCGGATCCACTCGGCGTGGTTGTTTTTTACAATGAGAAAAACGATAAAAACTGCTCATTTTTTTTTTCGATCAAAACAACCAACGGAAAGAGCGCGCGCTCTTTGATGTCAGCTTTATCTGTCTGTCCTCTTATTGATGATAAAGAATAACCAATCAGCGCGCGAGAAATTYGTAAGTTATTGTAAAATGTCTTAGTGCAGATACTTACCAAAGAACATAAGGCATCCAATCAGAATCAATGTAACCCAGCAAGACATTATGACCTTTATAACAGAAAAAACCATACATATGAACAATAATCTTTTAATGAATCCTTACTATTAACTTATTTGCTATAAGTATTATATTGGCATTGCAATGCATTTTGGGCCTGGCATAGGGGACAGACTAGACAGCATCTTGGAAATATGTCTCCTAACACAGCCCCACAATGCACTGCAATGCCAACTCGACCCAGTCTTTTCCGCAACCTGGGAATGGCCATATAAACGAACTAGTGCTAACATAATTACGTTTTATTTCATTCTGCATCTTTTTCTCTCTCTCTTTTTGTTTTACTCTTATCTCTGAAAAGACGTTTTTGTCTTTCTATTTTCGCCTCCTTTTTTACATTCTCTAGAAAATTTAATTTTTAAGGTAATCTTTATCAGTTCTTAAAGAACGATAATATAATTATAGTTATTTTCCTAACATTGAATAAATAATAATAGTATTAATAATAATAATGATAATAATAACACTATTTAACGAGGTTAAACACATTACAGTCAAAGACTGATAAACTTGTGGACCTTGGATTAAAATTGAACCAGGTGTTTATTATGATWAAAAAAAAAGCTTTGATTTGATACAAATATTTAATCGTATCTATTCAGCTGATATTCAAATATCAAGTTTCAGTACTCCTTGAAAATGTAAAGTAGAAGTTACTCGTTTTGCATCATTAATCCCGACAGATACTTAAACCAAACCGGTTTACAGAACAGAATATCTACTAGCACCAGCTCATTACTCTAAAATCACCTCTAGTTTATCCTCTTAAGAGGTATAACCACTTCCTGCTCGTTGAACGAACTTGGTTTTTTTTAAATTCATATGAAATTCCTTAATCATTTGCATGAAATTTTGAAGTATTCCGTACTTTTTTTTTAAGTTCTGAACTTTGAAATTCACTTAACAGATTTTTGACTTCTCCTCGGTTAGTTTTTTCATTAGCAGCCAACTAACTTACCTGTAGACTTAAGAACTTTCTAGAAAATGCTGTCTATAAGTTCTCTCTCGGAAAGAGAACGCCCTTAATGTAGGAGCCAGAAAAATAGCAAAAAAGGTGGCTTTTTACGATGGTAAGCGCAGAAGTGTTTGGCCTAACGTTTTAAGGATGTTTTGACCAAGATCTCAAATAGCAGCCAAAATCTCATGAATTTATTAAAAGTGTACTTTAAACACTTGGTCAATTTTTTGAAACGCCCTCTTATGATATGAGTCACTTCTTAATTTTTTATTTCCTCGTTTTATTTCGTTTTGAAAATTCTCAAAACAATTCCTGTAGACGTCGACTAAATTCGTGATTTTAGTGTCAAGAGTAAACTTTGAAATATCTTCTGTCTCAGTGACAGACAATATAAGGGATATCTATCCGTCTTCTTGTGGCTTATTCTTGAAGGATGGGCTTGATTGTTGGTATGACCTGTTATTCAGCAGGTCTACGATCTGTAAATTACTGARGACAAAGATCAGTTGGTTACCAGTCCTTCACGGCAACGTCATATTACTAGGGATACCGTTATCAAAATATTTTACAATGAAAAGCCCTTCAATACTTGCACTTGACTTTATTTAAGAGCACGAGAGGTGTTATTTTCTGCTTAAAGAAGAAAGATTGACAAGTTTTTTGCACATTAACCAGGACTCACCTTACCCCTCCCCTATGAATACTAACATGGCATACAGACGCGCGCGCGCAGCTTCTCTTGAGAAATTGATATAAGTTTATTCCTCTCATATCGAGTTTTAAATCTGTTGTTTTCTTGTTGGCATGGAGGGTTTCCCTTCGTTGTCTTTTTCGTCTTTTCTTGTCCTACTTCCAATGACACGAGTGAAAAACGTTTGCGCATGCTCTGAATCTGTATGCAAATTAGTCAAAACATATGAAATTTGACTTTCAAACATGCCTGATAAATTGGACTTCACAAAATGTCAAAACTTAGTGTCCATGATTGAAATTTAAGGCTAATTCTTTCATATTGTGTTTGTTAATACAGTATCTTGGTCTGACAAAAGTATACTCTCGAACTTTTTTGTATACTTGGAGAAAACAAACATTTATTTTTTCACTCGAACTCTTCATTATTCTTAGAAAACGTGCTGAAATGCACGCATGCGCAAACGTTTTTCCCTAGTGTCACTTCCAATCCGTYATACATTCGTTTTGTGTCGTCATGGTAACAAAGACTTTTCGCATGGAATCGTGGACAGGATACTTCCACTGTAATCAAACGTGTTGAGCGACATTCGCCAAATTTAAAGGTTCACTTTCATTTTATTATTTACTAACATTTTATTTTATATTTTATACATAACTTCATCAAATGAAATGCAAAAAACATTTATGGTGCAATTGTCGTTCTAACGCTTTAATCAAGATCAAATTGTTATTTTGTTATTCTGTTCTTTCTTTCTCTTTCCGTTTCTTTCTTTCTCTTTCCTTTTCTTTCTTTCTTTCTTTCTCTTTCTCTCTCTCTCTCTC